ATAGGTAATACTCCCATAACATCAGATAATGATATTGCAAGTAGTTTTGAAAGCTATTTTTCAGAAATTGCAGTTAATTGTCACATGTACATTAAAATCATCTCCCATAGATGCAATTAACGTTCTAAGAAATAATGTTACCTTTTGTCCCCACACATTTAAATTTAATCACGTAGATACTTATGATATTATAAAAGTTTTGAATTCTATTAATCTTAAGAATACAGGGGATTTATGGGGCATGTCCATAAAATTAATGACCACAATAATGCCATATATTGCCCCACATTTAGCTAATATTTTTAACAACTGCATAGAATCTGGAATATTTCCAGATCTTATGAAATTTAGCAAGATAATCCCCGTCTTCAAAAGTGGGGATAAAAATGATCCAGGAAACTACAGACCTATCTCCATATTGCCATCTCTGAGTAAAATTTTTGAAAAACTAATTTTAAATCAGCTCTTAGTACATTTTAATATTAAAATTTTTCACAATGAGCAATATGGATTCACTAAAGGCAGATCGACAACAGATGCGGGTATCGCACTTATCAAACATATTTATAACGCCTGGGAAGGGTCGCAAGATGCAATAGGTGTTTTTTTTCGACCGTTTCAAAAGCTTTCGACTGCGTGGATCACAAAACCCTCCTTCTAAAGCTTGATTATTATGGCATTCGTGACATCGCCCTCAATCTCATTGCTTCTTACCTTAATAATAGAATTCAAAAAGTATCTATAAATGATGTAAATTCCGCAGGGTCCCCCATGAAAATGGGTGTCCCACAAGGATCGATCTTGGGCCCATTATTATTCTTAGTATATATAAATGATCTTCCCTTTTATGCCAGTGAGTTATGTGATGTTGTACTGTTTGCTGACGACACATCGCTTATTTTTAAGGTTGACCGAAATGTATCGAATTATGACGACGTGAATAGTGCACTTTCGCGTATCCTCCACTGGTTTACCATTAATAATATGGTGTTAAATGCTAAAAAAACTAAATGTCTTCTTTTTGCCCTTCCCAACGTAAGAAGGCAAAGTTTTAGCTTAAAATTGAATAGCGTAACCCTTAATCCTGTTGAGTCCGCTGTATTCTTGGGAATCACAGTAGATTCAAAACTCTAATGGAGTCCCCATCTATCATCTCTTGCGAATAGCTTAAGCTCCGCTGTTTTTGCAATTAGGAAGGTTAGGCAGCTATCAGACATCGACACTGCCAGACTTGTTTACTACAGTTATTTTCACAGCATCTTGTCGTACGGCATTTTGTTGTGGGGTAGTGCATCTGATATAAATTCAATATTTATTATTCAAAAAAGCGCTGTCCGAGCAATTTATAACATCGGAGCCCGGAATACACTCAGAGATCTTTTTAAAGAGATTAATGTACTCACTGTTGCGTCTCAATATATCTATTGTAATATTTTGTATGTTAAACAGAATATTAATAATTATCAAAAGAATAGTGACAGACATAAACTAAATACTAGAAATAAGGACAAACCAACTACGCCATTATTTCGCCTACAAAAAGTAAACAGATCGTTCATGGGGCAAAGTGTGCGCATGTATAATAAAATCCCACAGTCGATGTTAAGTCTGCCACTTGATGAATTTAAACGAAAAATTAAAAGTACACTTATGGCTAAAGCCTATTATACCATTGCCGAATATCTTGACGACGCCAATGTGTGGGGTTAATACTGTTGATACTCACGTAGGCTAAAACAAGACTATTGTACCTGTACTATTATATTGTAAACTGATTTTTTAAAAAAGAGCAACTGTTGAGTTTCTTGCCGGTTTCTTCTCAACAGAAACTGCTTTGCGAACCGGTGGTAACTTACGAACGTGTTAATTTCTTGTAAAATTTTGACGTTTCATAAGAACGCGCAAGCGTCTATGTGAATAAAGATATTTTATTATTATTATTAACAAATGTAATAGCATAACATTTACAAAAAAACGTAATGTAGTTAATTTTCATTACAACATAAATAACATTGCCTTGAAAAGCATTGAATCGATCAAGGATTTAGGTGTTATATTAGACTCGAAACTTCACTTAGGTTATCACGTGGATCATATCACCGACAAAGCTTCACCGGCAAAGAAAATTTCGCGCGCTCGGTTTTGTAATAAGACAAACAAACGTTTTTAGGCGACCATTATCATATATTTATTTATTCAACTCCTTGATTAGACCAATCCTAGAGTATGCCTCAATAGTTTGGAACCCATTTTATGAAAGGTAAAGTAATCAGATTTAACGTATTCAACGAAAATTCTTAAAAACGGTTTACTACAGATGCTACCGCAACTCTCTTTTTTCCTACTCCCAAGCTTTAGATAGGTTTTCACTTCTGCCTTTGAACAAAAGAAGAATTTTAAGTGATGCGTTATACTTATACAAAATCTGTCATAACCTTATAGATTGCATCCCTCTTAATAATAACTTGTTTTATCGCATCCCTAGTTGTTCTCAGCGCATTCGTAAAATACTCTCATAAATTATTCAATGTAAATAAATGTCGAACTAACGCCGGTTTACGCTCGCCGATGCAACGCATAGTGCAATCATACAACGACAACTTCACAAATATGGATATTTTTGCTACTACGACTTCTTATTTAAAAAAAATGCTACTAAATATTTAAATGTATAATAAATCAAAATAACATGTATAATCTTATCTCGCTACCTTATGCATTATATACATCACTTTGGGTATACGGTGTTGAATGTACATATACTTATCTGTTTGTATGTGTAATATGTTAATGTTTATATAAATTTTTGTACATTTGTTTGTATGCCTTAATAAAATAAAAAAATAAATAATAAAATTAGTGGTCTACCCAGGTCCTGGACCTAGCCCCCCTTGATCCGCCCTTGAACAAACAGCGATTGAAGGCCGTGGTTGAGTAAACAACTTTTGGCTTAGGCTGCTTATTTTAAAGAACCTCATATATTTGAGAATTTACCTGACGAAATGCAATCTACGTGTGTTTGGAAGATTTGAATGACTAAGTTCTTGAACAGGTAAATCCACAGGTAAAAGGAAGAATGACACACAAAACATGTTTATAAGGAAAATACAATGAATTTTGTTGTTTACGCAAATGGCGTCACCTATAAGCTTTTTAATATTAAAAAATATCGTGGGTTTTTCGCGCTAATGTAGTAAACATTACCTTCACTAATGCTATTTATTTATCAAATCATAACACGCAATACAAACGCTCACAGGCGTAAAGTAGAAATATCGAAACTTTTAACTTTTATCCAGGGAATGAGATAACCTTAACCATGCTTGCAAAAGCAAGAGCAACTTCAGAAATTTTGCGATTATTAACGGGCAGCAGTACTCGTAATTAGCAAACATCAGCCGAACCGCCTCCGGTTCCGCTGATGTTTGGCCGCTAAGATTTATATTTCACCGGAACGCATTCCGGTGAAATATAAATCTTAGCGGCATATATTATTAGCATTATACATACTAACATTAGCATTAGACTTGCAAATAATAGAATATCGAGTATCGGCGTACTTCCTGTCTGAATAGCCGAATATTACTCAGTCGACGCGTGGCGGGTAAACTTCTAAAGGCTTCTTGGAGTCTGGCGACTTTCTATTTTGTTCAAATGAACACTTACCTTACTTCCACGCCGCGCTGCGTGTTTTGACTTATTTTTGGTTTGTACACAATATAGTAAATTACAAAGGATTTTTACACGCAACAGATTTGCACGAATGGGCAGATCCGTTCGGATAAGTATCACGACCTTACAGAAGACCGGCGTAAAGTAGAAGTGCTACACTTCTGCGTTTCGTCTAGTGAGTGAGGTAGCCGGGACCCACTTTATTAAGGTGGTAACGAATTTGCAACCCTACGGGTGTTGCAAGTTGTCCATGAGCGTCGGTTATCACTTAACATCAGGTGAACCGCCAGCTCGTTTGCAACTTTCTCACATATAAAATTTATCTTATTCTCTACATTTTTGATTGCTTTAAAAGAAAAATGGCCTAAGGTCTAACTAATAATATCAATTACGGCCTCTAAAAACCACCTCTGTGGGTACCTACACTTTGCTAAAATGTAGTGAAGAGAGAAAAGGAGTAAAGTACTGCATAAAATGTATAAACATGTTCTACACCTTTCTCCTCTCCTGCTAAATTATAATCAGTTGACCGTGCGAAAGCGAAAAAATGTGAATGAAGTATGGAATACATGGCGTATAGACAAAAAACACCTTTGAGAAATAATATATAAAGATAAAGTAAATTAATATTACCAATTAAATATAAAATAACATAAAAAAAACTTATTTAAGTATGAATACTTCTTATTATGAATACTTCTTTAATATGTAATCGAATATTGAAATATTCGATTACATATTAAAGAAGTTGCGAAATAGGCCTAATACCGAATAATAGCCGAATATACGTTGCAGTGTTCTTATAAAAACACTAAATCGGTCAGGAGTAAGAAACAAGAGGGTTAGTTTAACGATAATGGATGTGAAAGGATAGATAGGAATGTCAAATCCCTTACAGTAGGAGCAAAATTGATGGGTCTTATGAATGATTACGACGTAGCCGTTTAATATAGATTTTAGCTACATCAGCAACATATTTTTTCTCGACTCTTTTGTGCCTTGTTATATTAAATTTATATTAATAAAAACGTCCCTGCAGAATAACCACATGAGAAAAATATGTAAAAATTATTACAGTGCCTAAGAGTTAAAATTTGTCTGTGTTGATAAATATATACCTACTGGTAGTGTAAATAAAATTGTTTAAAAAAGTCTTAAATATTTTAAGTAGAAAATAAATTCATTACCCTTATAAGACAACATAAGTACCTACCTATACATCGAAACAAACAGCGCCTTTTTAAACATACTACATGGTGGAATATATGGTGGAATAAATTATGCTTATGTCTGATCAAGAAGGTATTGGTAATTATTTTGGTACTTACCGATTACCAAGCTCATCAGCAGTAGTACTCGGCTTTTCTATCTCAGGATACCCAATGGGACGGGAGCCAGCGAAGAAAGGTCGTTGACCCAAAACTAGACTTGCAGACGCAGCCAGAAGAATGATTTGTAAACAAGCCATGATCTGTCCCAGAGAAGTTTAGTAAGCCATATTAAAATTAATTTCTTTAGATTTTCGAAGATATGACATGACGTGGAGCGACATAATTTCCTTTAGTTGTATGTTACTTCAGGTGCGCGAAGGGTTACAGGAAATTTTGTGGTTTCCTTGTATTTTTATTAGTAAAATTCACGATACGCGATACATGGCAGATGCCATAAATACAATTCTGTAAAACTTAAAGAATACGATACTTTAACAGGAATTTGATTTTTTAGAGGTTATATTTTTTTGAGGTTTAGAGGTTCCTATCTACGCTAACACCTAGTGGGCCGATTGTTGGTTATTTTTTAAATGCTGGACTGCAAAATATTTTCAGAACTTACTAATTTAAAACTAATAACGTAGACAAACATTTTATATACGATTTACTTAAAAGTGCTATAAGCTTAGCAAATACGTGATTTTGGCTTTATTAAAGGGAAACAAAACAAAATTCTTTATTTTCAAAATTTATTATGAACATTTAAATAATGTTGCCTACAAAAGTATAAAAACTTATAAAAAAGTTAAATAAAAATATTTGATTGCCCTTTACAAACTCTTCAATTTGAGCATAGGAAAAACGTCTGTTCCGTACAGAGTATATTATTTAATATTTAAATATTTTTTCTTCTTCTTACGTTTAGAAATCTAAAACAGCACAATTTGGAAGTAAAGGTTTTTAATAATATTTACTTAACCCTTCTAATTTTTTCTTACTGGCAAGCACTCTAATATAATAAATATATATAAATATAATACATTAAATAATTGGCACGAAAGAAATATTTTTGTAGAACATTCATTTTTATACTAGCTATTCTCTGCACTTAAAACGAAATTTTACAAATTGTAGAATGGACGAAAACTGTTTAGCAGCTGTGAGGATTTTAACCTGCGACCTCCGGGTTGTGCACCTGACGTTCTAGCCCCTGAGCTAAGCGGCTTATCTTTTCACCAACTTTTTTTTACGATTACAAGTAGCTTTTCAATAAAATTCTTTTTCAGATTTACTTTTTGATTTTTCTGTAAAGATTGATTTAAATCTCGTTGCGTTAACTTATTTAGTTAAGTTAAAAATAATTTATTTTATTACATTACATATTTTATACTGTTTTCAACACACGGCCATGAAAGTTGTTACTACACCATTAGTAACAAAACTATCAGTCTAATATTCTAAGATTGTATACCGATGTGCTTATATGTAAATGTACCTAATATTAACTTTGCTTCTCTGATCAAACAAACTTGCTATCTTAATTAATTTTATTGAGGCGGTTTAACTTCAACAAAACTTCTTACTTTGCTGATGTGAAGAACGTCAACTGTATGAAACTTTGCTTAGTAGCTGTAGTTGCCCGACCATAATTCGACATTCGTTTTTGATACTCGATAATATAGCTTTCCACTGCATGGTGAAAAAAAAATTTAAATTTTTATTTCAATTTTTTTTCTCCGTATGCAGTGGAAAGTTCCTCCCTTTGGTGGGGAGGCGGGTTTTTATTTAATTTTCGAGTACGTAACGGTGGTAGGGCCACGCAACAGTCTTCACTGTTGTACGAATGGGCAGGTCCGTCCGGGTACGTACCAACGAACTCACAGGGGAACAGCGTGAAGTGGAATGTTATACTTGTGCGTTTCGTCTGTTGAGTAGCAGGGGCAGACTTTATTGTAAGGTGGCAACGCATCTGCAACCCTACGGGTGTTGCAAATGTGGGCGGCGGTTGCCACTTACCATCAGGTGAACCACCAGCTTGCATGCCATCTTCTCTCATAAAAAAGAGCATTTTTCGAATTAAATGATAAAATCAACATTTATGAATGTGAGGTTTTTACGTTAATAAATTGATTTATGTATTCAGAAACTGCACGGGCAGTAAATATCTTGACTGCATTCTATGTTGTCAATAAGACGTAAATGTAATCCATTCAATGCGAATCGTTTTATAAATTAAATTAACCACCATTAAAATAATCATTCTGTATTTTTGTCCTTATGTTATCTAGTCAAACAATCACGACCACCTTCCACATCATGTTCAAAAATCAGAAATGATCAAAATCTAAAAATATTATCTGTATTTTGGAGCACTATATAGCTATATATTTTTTTTTTGAATCATGATTTACTTCTTGTGTGTTACGAAATTAACGGTAAATGACGTTGCCATATAGAAATCATCATATGATTATAGACAAAGACGATAATCCTTGTTGATTACAAATATAATTCTTGACTTTTGTGTTGTGTCTTTCATTAAAATGCTATCTTTTTTCAAAGTTTTATATAATTAGCGTAATCTAATTCCTACCATGCGTTTTAATGTTCAATTAATTTTTACACTTCCTTTTTAACACAGAAAACAATGAGCAATATAAGAACTTAATTAGAAAATCAATAGAACAATTAAAATTATATTTAAAGTTAGTTAATTACAGTGTAACTTACAATTAAGAAGGAATCGTCGCACTACTAGAAGACACCTTGTTCATCAAACGGATTACAAGCGACTGGTTTGTCCAGCACTTTGCAAAAAGATAAATAAAAAACCGTAAACCTGTATCGGTCGACTGCGGGTTCCCGTTAGATTTACGCTTGAACATTTTCCTCAAAAAGTTTTTACGTGCTCTGCTTTTGTGTTTTTTTATTTCTAACTTGGTGTTGCCAAACATAATTACAACATACATTTTTAATGTAGAAACAAAATTATAGACATTTAGTTATAAATAATAAAATCGAATAAAAATCTAAGTTGTTTACGTTTAATACATTGCCTTTATCATTATTTTTACAATATCATCGACTACAATTGTAATTATTATTTAATTCCCTACTTGATTTTTATGTAAATATGTTGACATTCAAAGAAGTCTGAGTTTTTAATTAAAATCAATTCAATTGAATGCTACGTTAATCTAAGATAATCTAAGACAGAACCTTAAAAGAGGCTTAGTTAGAATAGTTAATGATCGAGTCTACACAACGGTAATTCTGCAAAGAGGATGCTATTTATTTTGTTATCTACCCTCTGTGCAATTAATTTATGACATTATTAACGTCAAATATAAAGGTTCCTTAAGTTTTACACGGAACTCTAACGTCGATTAAGGAAAATGGTCGTCACATCAACACCGGTTTAAAATCTTCGATAATAATTGTTTTATAGTGCCTTTTATTATGAGTGGTTTTCGATTATAAACTTTAATTGTTTTCGATTAAAAGTCAATTCTCTTCGCGTTTGTATGACTTCGTATGCATGATGCACCCAACCCGTCCTTAAGAATCAATTTCTTTGGAAGTGATTTATGTGTTTGCATACGCTGACGAACGTTAATCCACTAACGTAATGGAAATTCTAATGTTATGAGGGTACCTGTGGAATGATTCAGCCGAAGAAACTTAAGCGTCGTTTGTATTCTTGTCTTGAATAAGTTACCGGTATTATTATAGTGTATGCATAGCATGCAAAAATCAAAACAATTAACAGCTCAGGTCAGACTACATTAAGATAGGAATGGAAATGTTTATGTGGAGTGAGATTCAATTGCGTATAATTAAGAGGAATATTGATAACGGAGAACAGCAATGAAAAAGATAAGGTCTTGGGAGTTTTGACTTTTAAATTGTTTAATGCTGGGTATCAAGGTAACAAAACATATAAATACAAAATCAGTTTTTTATAATAGACATTTTAGCCCATTCCGTACTTTGTACAAATTTGCATGTTCTTGTATCAACATCTTAAAAACCACAATTATCTAATGTTATATATTGAGTTTTTGAAACCCACCTAAAAAGGCGGCAATGCCTGTGCAACCTTACGGGTGTTGCAGATGTCCGGCGGATGTGGTCGGCGGTTGCCACTTACCATGTCGCTGACGACATCTGCTTTTTCATGTCACGCACACAAGCTCTAGAAATCTTGCAATAAGTAATGCTAGCTACGCATAAGCTTGATACGTCACACATTTCCAAAATGGATTCCTGCTTTTCTCTATTTCAAAAATAACGCGACAGATACTGCAAATATATAGCTTACAAAAAATCTTATAAATTTCGATTTGTAGTCAGGCAGGCGGCCGGTCTTAAAAACCTGGCCAAAACCACTTACAACATTGGTTACGATTCCCTTGGAGCATGGTAGGTGATGATGACATAACCTAATAAAACCAACACCTTACAATGTTCTTACCTTTTTTTTTTTTATGGAGAAAAGGGGCAATAAGCGTCAGCAACCATCAACTTATATTTTATTTTAATCACTTCTAATAAAATTCATTTTGGAATGCCTTCACATTTTTCACTGTAAATTTCCGAAGTAAATAAAATTGGAATTAAGGGGGCCTTGATAGCTCAGTGCCCGAGCCCTTTTTACACAAATATAGTACTCGAAGAACCTTAACTGCAGATTTAGGTGATCACGGTGATTTCCTTTACCGTGATCACCTAAACCTGCAGTTAGCACCAGAGGTAACCTGCATATTCTCGAAATAAAAAAAAAATATTAGACGACAAGTGTCCGTCAGTCTACAGTGGGGTTACGTGGTGGTAATACCCTCTGTACAGATAAGGCCTTTGCCCAGCGGTGGAACATTTATATCTATAAGCTGATATTTTCTTTACTTTTAAATACTGGAATCTTCAATTCTTATCAATAAAATTTGTGATCGGAGAGATCAAAAGTCTCGTCAGTACAATGTCTCGTCTTTGAAGCCAAGTTAACTTCGAGTCGTTAAGCTCGCGAATAAAGAGATGAAAGGGCCCTTGGAACCGAGAAGTGATTTTAGTAGATTTGATAAAAATTGACTAAATAGAAAATGTATTTAAGTTTATTTAATTGCGTTAATTTCTATGAAAATAACTGATGTGTACATATATCCTGTATTAACAGAATATTTTATTCTTAACAGTTCATTGTTTTAATGCTAATAAATTTTAAGAAATAAATATTACAATATAACGTCACTGTATTTCGATATACAATGCACAGCATCGATATAATTATGTATGTATATTGCCCATTTATGCAAGCGCGACCCACAGCATACGGGTATGTGGAAAAGAGGCTTTTGACTTGCCTTAAGAACGCTTTTTCTAATTTATTTAAATATATGGATAAAATACAACTTTATTATGTTTTTATGTTCATTTAACTGAGGTTATCCTGACGCTCTTATCCTATTGCGTTCTTAACACTTTTTAAGGCAATTTTACATTGAAAAGGAACATTTTCCACTTATTCAGTGATCATCAAGCTCATCTTAATGAGGATTTATTATTTGTACGACATTTGCTTTTTATTAACTTTTAGTCAAAATTTTTAAATGATATTTGAAATAATTAGAAAGCTATATGCTTTTATCTGTTAATATCAGAAGCAGAGCGTCTGTTTTGAGAACCTCAGTGCTCCAATTTGCCTGCCTTCTGAAAGGCCGTGGTAGTACTTTCCTGTAAGAGCCTTTTTTTTCCGTGGGAAAAATCCTTTATGCATACCCTGCCACTGGATGGGAGTAGTGGCAGGGGGTGTATGTGGGAGTCCCGTTAAAAACGGGTACCCACTAAAAACCCACGTCGCACCAGTCTCTGTCGAAACGTAACGAACACGTGAACGCAATCTTCCGCGACCCCGGCGCGACTATGACCTTCTATCGACTAGGCCTTCTCTACTACATGGTGCTGTGTTGGTGCAATGGCACAGCACATCTCACGAGCCCCATATTGAGTGGCAGACACCCCATGCCTGCCGCTCAAGCTGTTGCTGCAAACAACATATTTTCCAATAACTGAAATGTTTTCATTGGTATTAACCCTTTAGTGTTTAGGAAAAGTTCTATCGATAGATTGAAGCAGGAAAATATTTTTTTTTAATTTGTAGACTCCCACAAAATGGACGAAAACCCAACCGAAATTAAATATGCGTATATATTTAACATGATTCGGAGATTTTTTAATTTGTAAACTGAAAGTACTAGAAGTTCCGCGTTTTAAAATATTTATATAAAAACAAACATACAATAGAAAAAAAAAGAATTTAAGGTGAGTGCGAATCTTATTTTTTTTGTTATATTTTTCAAAATAAAACTCCATCTTGTTCAAATAATTCGTCCGTATTGGTCATCGTCTAAGTCCCTATCAATTTTCTTTCCCGTCTTATATACACGGTTCATCTATCACAGAGCGTCGTTGCTTCGTTCAATTCATGTGACGAAGAAATAAAACTATTATCAATGCTTAGTTTTAGGATTTAGAATTTTTGAATAGCGAACCAACAAACCTTTACGATTAATTTTGAAAAGAAGTTTACATCTTACCTTACTCTTGGCGTACCAATTGGCAAGGCGACCATTAACACTTAAGCATCCGTGCAGTAAAAATCACAGCATTTATATTTTTGAATTATGACCAGCAAGTTTAGTAGAGATTCATAATTTCAACGACCGGCAATCCTTTTGCAACCAGTCCAAGACGTAATGTTTGAAGCTCATACTTATTTTCTTAACTCAATTTTTATAGATGAGGTGGCTAACAAATAAGCGGTGCACTATGATGGTAATGTCGCCTAAGGATGTCGACGTCCATACCTTCTCAGCTCGAGAGGAATTGCAAAACGATGAAACTTTCTGACTCTGCGGAGTGCTCTACACGTCGGAGGTTAAATGAAATTAATCACAAAATTTGGAAAATTCTGTTCCAAATGTTTGCTGGTTGTAAGACAATAGGCGCCCTATTACATATCTATATATATATATATATATATATATATATATGTGTAAATTTTTTGGCATTAATATTTCATTTAAAAGGGGTCTGGAACTTGCTATTTTGCTAATCATATTTTTATAGATCATGTCTAAAAGTATGATATGAAAAATTAACTATACTTCTTATCGTTAACTATACTTTTACATGTCTATTGGTAGCAATGAAATTAAAAGATCAGACATTATCGTTATAAAGCAACTTCAAGAAATTGAAAACTACTACTATTTCTAATTTTATATTAAGTATCATATTGCTTTTAATAATATCAATATTCCCTTTAAAATCTAAATATCAGCTTGGTGATATAAACGGGAATGCCAAAGCCGTTGGTTTATATAAATTGACAGTTAACCTAAAATGGTGAAACAAAAGCCGAAAAGCCGTCAACGAGGCTTATTAATTAAGTCGTCGAGCTGAACAAATCTCTTAAAATTACACGCGAAACAAGTCTCGACTTTACAAACAATGTGTGACAAATTCTGTCGACTGGTTGACAAATGGTTTTGCGAAAATGGATCGCAAATTCAGTTTAAAACGAAACGATAATAACCCTTAAAAGCTCTCTCGTTTTTAAAGCTTCTCCATACATGTTATTCAGTCATAAAATGCTTGGCGACAATTCCCAAAACTTTAAAATTTATAAAAAGCAATGGCGACATCTCTCGTTCGAATTATCGTTGTAAAACGATATTCGAAATTGTTTATATGCTGGAAAGGATATAACAATAGATTCGCCAAGCATTGCTTCAATTGCTAAATAACAATGTAGAAAGAAGGCGTTAAGATTTTCGTCGCTGTGGCTATCAGCCGTTTAGCTCAGTGGCTAGAGCGTCAGGCCGTGAATGCCGAAGACGTGGGTTCGATTCCCACAGCTGCGACAATCTTTTCGTACTTTTTCTACATGTTTTAATGTTCATTCTTAGGTGCAGAGATTAGCACTATAAAAAACTTTAAAATCTTTTCAAAGAGGTTAATGTACTCACTGTTGCTTCTCAATACATTTATTGTAATGTTTTGTATATACGTCATAACCTTAATTATTACCTAAAGAATAGTGACAGACATAAAATAAACACTAGAAATAAGGACAAACTTACTACGCCATTGTTTCGTCTACAAAAAGTAAATAAGTCGTTCATGGGGCAAAGTGTGCGCATGTATAATAAAATTCCACAGTCGATATTAAGTCTGCCGCTTGACCAATTTAAATGTAAAATTAAAAATCAACTGATGATTCAAGCATATTATACCATTTCGGAATATCTCGACGACGCCAATGTGTGGAGTTAATACTGTTGATACTCACGTAGGCTAGAATAAGACTATTATACCTGTATATTATATTGTACCCTGAAATTTTTGAAAAAGAGCAACTGTTGAGTTTCTTGCCGGTCTCTTCTCAACAGAAACCGCTTTCCTAACCGGTGGTACCTTACGAACCTATACACATAATCTTTGATGTAAAATTTGACGATTCATAAGAGCGCGCAAGCGTCAATTTGAATAAATATATTTTAGATTTTGATTTTGATTTTTATAATTCTGTATTTAGATAATGAGCGTACGCTAGCTTACATGTTTATTTAACTTCAATGCTTTTTAATCATTAAACGACAATACATTTGTTCTATGTTCGTGCAGTTAGCTAGAGGAAAACGCTTTGAATAACGATTTATAGATACTTGAGCTGGTTCAGATGCTAATTAAATAAAAGTCTTGAAGAAAATGGAATTGATTCAGATTTTAACACCGCTGCTTGGCTTCTGTGAAATATCCTTTACGCCGGTTAACGAGACATTTTTACTGTTATAGTCATTGAATTTATATGACGACGTAGAGTTCTGCTTTGCCATGTAAATACTCACTGGATTACGAATACTTTTTTTTTTAAAACAAGTAAAATAAGAAAACAAGAGGTACTGCAAAGATATGAGATAATTCTACAGGGGGGGGGGGGGGAGCGGTAAAATAGTATTATGGCAGCTGACATCAAAGACTCAAAATTGTCCCTGTAAACCTTCGCGATACTCTAGTATCTCTAAATTTTATCTATTTAAGCCTCGAGTATGGGGCTATATATTTAAGAAGCAAGAACTAATTAGGTCGTCG